CTTCTTGTTATATCACTATTAGAGATCCCAAGATGTACTTTCAAGATGTCTTTTCTAATATCTTGCTTCCCCCAAAGTCAAATTAATTCAGTCAGTTCCAAGTACTCTATAGATTTTTTAAAAAATATTTTAATGACATACCACTTTCTCTTTTGAGTCTGGGTCTTAGCACCAACTTCCAAAATAAAACAAAACTAAAATGTTTTTGAGGACAGAGTTCATATCTGGTCCATTACTATGAACTATTGATTCTCTACCAATCTTTGAGGAATTTTTTCATGGTCCCCCAGACTGATTATTAGGGTCCTTTGACCTTTTGCTGAACTTTCCCAGGTATCAGCTGCTGATTTAACCAAATATTCACCTGAACATAAGCATCATTTCCTAGGTTGCTAGTTCTCCAGTGGGTCCTAAAGAAGATCTGATTCAGTTGGGAGTTCTTTACTTCCTTTAGGCAAACATTCCAACAATTAAGCCCAAGAATTTCCAGAAAGGTTAGCCACTTTCCTCTTTCTGATTATTGTAGATGCATCTCTGGCGTGTTCCTATCTCATGTCTTCTTCCTCATATACTTTAGTTGCTGTGATCTTAAATCAATATCTGATCTTTGAACAATCATATTAGCTCCACCTGTAATCACAAACTTCTCTGAGAGGGAAAAAACAAATGGGAAAATAAATTATTTAAATGGAATGTGGAATATAAGATTTATTTCTCTTCATGTTTTGGATTTGGAGTTTAAATTTCACTAATCAGGGAAAAGATTGACTAGTTTCTTTGTGGCTCATCTTTTTGAATCTTCTTACAGAGCAAGACAGACACAGCAGAAGACATTATAGCTTGGCCAAAGACAGAGATGAGTATTAAACACTTGGGGATAGGAAAGATGAAATGAAATGAAGAGCATAGCACTGATTGAAATCTTTCCTCATTTTCTAGTCAGGTGCACAGCTGACTTAACTCATAACATATTGCTGTTTACTATAAGCATTCTACTTTGAAAAAATTCTCCTATCAGAAGACTTTTAAAACAGAAAAAGAACACTGGAAGAGTGATGCATTTTTTTTCCTTCCTTTTCTTTACCCCCTCCATAGAAAATATTACTATTTGTTGGGCTGGGGATGTGACTCAGCGGTAGCACGCTCACCTGGCATGCGTGCGGCCCAGGTTTGATCCTCAGCACTGCATACAAAGAGGTTGTGTCTGCTGAAAACTAAAAAATAAATAAATATTTAAAAAAAAAGAAAAGAAAATATTACTATTTGTTCACTAACTGCCCATATCATCCTACCTTCTTTCTTCCAGACTCTCTTTTAATAATAGAGTCCTGTTTACCTATTGGCTATATTTTTTTTTAAAAAAAATGTTTATTCTTAAGTTTTAAGAATATCTTTATTTCACATTTATGTGGTGCTGAGGATCAAACCCAGTGCTTCATGCATGCTAGGTGAGTGCTCTTCCACTGAGCCACAATCCCAGCCCCTATTGGTTATATTTATGGCCAATTATTTTCTAGGAATAGAGCATGAATGGAGGTTGCTATGTGGAAAGGAACAGACAACTGATGTGAACCTCTCTGTCTCCTTTTTATTTATGATTGGAACTCTGACATAACAGCTGGAGTTCCATTGGCCATCTTATCATTTTGGGGTGACATTGAAGATGGCAATCAGATGTAGTGGGTGGTGTCTGGGCCATTGGTTAGTTTCTAGAGCCATCATACCATCTCTGGGTTGTTATATTATCTACTGCTGCATAACAAGTTACCTTCAGCAGTTTAAAGCAGGATCCATGTGTTATCTCAGTTTTCTCAGATCCAAAGTCTGGGCATGACTTGGACTTAGCTGGTTCTTTGCTCAGAATCGTATGAGGTTGCCATCAAGGTGTCAGCTAAAGTGCCTTCTCATCAGGAGGCTCAACTGGGGAACAATTAGCCTCTGAACTCACTCAGATGATTGGAAGGATTCATTTACTTGCAATTGCATGACTGTTATCTCCGTTTTTCTTTTGCTAGCTATTGCTAGTGGGGGGGGGCTGCTGGCAGCAAATAGTTCAAGATCTCACCCTATGGCATCTCTCCAGTGCACAACATGGCTATTAGCTTCTGTAAGGCCAGTGGGAAAATCTGTCTTCAGGAATTTATTTCCACTTTTAAGAAATTTCACTGGACAAAGTCTTATAACCCAGGAAAATATCTCTTTTTATTAATTCAAAAGCAACTGATTTGGGATCTTAATTACATATGCTAATACAAAAACATATAAAGAAGAGTCAAAAGTGGAAACCCTCTTTTTTCAAATTTTCTAGTATTTTATCATTTCCTTAGAGTAGATACCATTAGCTACTCTCTACGTATTCTTCTAGTCATTTTTTGTTGCAATTTTACATACACACACAACCCCTTATTTGTGTGTGCATATATACACACACATATATATATATATATATACAACACAATAAAACAATTATATATAGACATATATATCCATCTATACTACAAATTGAGTCATATGTGTAATATTCTGCTAAAGATTTTACAAGTTACTACCTTCCAGACAAAGACCACCAGAAATTTACTTGCAGTTGGACACATTGGGTTTATTGTTCTTACAAGGAATATCACACACCATGGAGAACCGTGGAGTGTGCTAGTAACACAGTGCTAGAGTCAAGAGATTTTGTACTTTATTTGAGTGATTTGGGGGAGAGTTCAGAGCAATGGGGATTTTCTTACCCTGGATTGAATGCTATCAGAAGTGGGGGTAATTAAGATAGTTTGCAGCGAGCCTTGAAATCAAGTAATACAAGGCCACCAACTTTATTCTTTCTTTCCAGATTGTTTTGCCATTACATGTCTTGCATTTGCATGTAAATCTAAAATTTGTCAGTTTCTAGATTTAAAAAGGCTTTCTTGGATTTTGAAAAAAAAAAAAGAAGTGGGGGTAATTCTGAGATTGAGTATCATAAATATTTTTTTTCCAGAAGGAGGAAAGACTAGAAGGAAATAAGGCTGCAGTTTAGTTAAAGAAGCAACTAAAGTTAGCCAAGAGAGAAAGAAGATATCTGGTATTCACCTAAGTTAGCCAAGAGAGGAAGATATCTGGTATTTCTGTGCTTTGACATTTCTGGAGTTTCTGTGGTTTCAATGACCTTGCTTTTGTCTTATCCTTAGACAAAAATTATAAAGTGGTCTCATTAATTGCATCATGTCTTCACAGTCACAAAGATATCTTGTCTCATGTTAATGTTCTGTGAGAATGTTTTTTGTCCAATGTTTTGTCCAACGAGAGAACACCAAACTCTTCCTGTGAGAACCAATCCAGCTCCTGGTGACACTGAAACCCAACTGCAAGTTTCAGACCAGTTCCCATATGTCAGGGACTGTTTCTCTCTTTCCCCCAGATAATCTCTTTGATGAGAGAAAAAAGAAAAATACAAATGAGGTGACATAGTGCATTGCACTGGGGATAGAAGAATTATAAACTGTCTTTGTACATAAAATTATAAGCAGGTATACAATGCAGTTGTTAATTTAAACTTTACTAGACATACTTTAGTGTTAAAAATGCCCACTATTTAAATATGTACATGAATATATTAATCCCTTCAACACAGAGCATGTTTCATATATGTGAACATGTATACATCTATACATATACATATATATGCATAAGTAAAATACACATTTTATACATGTGTTTTATGTATATGCTTTAAAAGAGAAAACGTCATTATCACATCTTGAATCAGTACAAAGTTGGAACTCACAGGATTTATCATGATTGGTCTTTGTTTCAAAATTGTATAAAATAAACAACTAGCTGCTGCTGCTAATATCAACATTTTCTAAAAATATGTTGAGTATGTTGTGGGCTTCTAAATATTTATCTTTTAAAATAATCTCAATAAGCTATATTTTGAAAATCTTATTGGGTGGGCAAATAAATACTTCCAACTGAAATAAAATGAAGAACTGTTCAACTCTCTCCTAACATTTACACAGATTCTCTTCATAACTAGTAATCTAAACGTTCTCAGTTCAAAATACGTCTAGTCTATAATAATTTTCTCCAAAGTTGATGGAAGAGAGGTTCCACTTCAATATGCAGCCTTATTTTTCATCTATTGAAGATAAGGTGCTTTCCAAATTCATTCTGAATTTCCCACTGAAAAATATACACTTATCATATTTCTAATATTCCAAGTTGGTGTTATAAATCTTGTCTACAAAATAATTAGAGTTATCTAAAAGGGATCATGAATTTCTTGCCAGACCATTTGGGATAACTTGTAATTTTGGAAGAGGGGGGAGAGTCAGAAAATGAAAGTTATCTGTGTTTGTATTGAATTTCAGTATTCAAAGGATGAATTCTTCCACAATTTTTTTTCCATTTAATGTGGTTCAAAGGTGTAATGAAAGCCTGATATTGCACCTTCTTTTCTCTCTGTTACTCCTGGAAAGATGCCATAGAATATGCAGTTTACATGGATCCTTACTTAAGGTCAGTCAATAATTATGATGGATCAGTTTGGTAGTCAATCCCCCCCCCCCCGTGCTGGTGATTTAATCCCAGGGTGTTTTCACTATTTCAATATTGAACTGAGCTACATCCCCAACCCTTTATAGTTTTTGTTTTTGTTTTTCTTAATTCTGAGACAAGGTCTTACTAAATTGTTTAGGGCCTCAATAAGTTATTGGGGCTGTCCTCAAACTTGCAATCTTCCAGCCTCAGCCTCCTGAATGCTGGGATTACAGTTTTATACCACCATGCCTAGCCTTTGGTGCTCTTTTCTTCTTTCTTTCTTTCTTTTGCAGTAGGAGTGGGAGGTGACTTGGTGGGGGGCGAGGGGAGGTACCAGGATGGAACTCAGGGGCACTCAGCCACTGAGCTACATCCCTAGCCCTATTTTGTGTTTTATTTAGAGACAGAGTCTCCCTAAATTGCTTAGCACCTTGCTTTTGCTGAACCTGGCTTTGAATTCATGATTCTCCTGCCTCAGCCTCCTGAGCCACTGGGATTACAGGCCTGCGCCATGACAATGAACAGGTACTTTTTTTAACTGGAGTTCTATCTACTTGCCTCCCAGTCTATGATCTCAAATGCTGCTTCATATTCCAGTTACCTGGTGATTCAAAAGGAAATCAGAATGGATATTGCTTACTCTCGAGAAGGCAGAATGATGAAACAAGCTGATTTTTAGCACCTTCCAGTTCCTTTTTTGCTGTCAGATACTGTGGCCAGGATGCCTTAGGACCCTGCTGAGTGTCCTGAGTAACTGAATTGAATGAGGAGTAGAGATTGGATGCCAGTGCTGGTGCTGATTGAGTTCTAGTGCTCACCATTATGACTTGAGCTCTTACAATGGATGAGTTCTCCCAGCTCTGGACTGTCCTTTCTAGGTTTGTTCCCTACTTCTGTTTGGTTAATAAGGTGCAGTTATTACTCTCAGATAATATCTCTGGTGATTTGGGGCAGCCTTACATTGACTAAAGTTTGTTCGTGTTTTTAAAGCACCAAACCAGAAAAGGCATTTTTCAGGTATCTGCTTCAGATTTCATATAAGTATAAATGGAAAATCTTCTCCCAGAGAAGGTAAAGTATAGGTCTTAGTTGGAAAACACAGATGAGACATAAATAAACGTAATTTTTCTTCCCTATCACTACAATACATTTCTGTACCATTCGTTTTATATAGTCAGTCCTTCACATCCACAAATTCAGCTAACTGCAAATATATCTGAAAAATCAACTTCATGTATGCCAAACAAGTATAGATGTTTTTCTTATCATTATTTCCTAAGCAATATCGCCAAACAATTATTTGCCTAGAATTTAGATCGTCTTAAGTAGTATAACTATTCCTTCTGCCTTTGATAATTAGTTAGAAAAAATGACTAAAACACATTCTTTCACTCTTTGAAAGCATTTTCATAACATTTCTGTAAAGTTATGTTTTATATGTCAATATGAAAACCATATGTGCTTTTTTATTGCTAAAGGGGATAATTCAGTTTTCCTGAAGTAAGAACAGCTATACTATAATTTGAAAGTTGAAGAAATTAAAACTTGGATTACTGATAGACCACCATACTGTCTTAAACTTTTCTACATTTGGTATTCCTTTAGAGTACCTTATGGGAATTTTTAGACTTGGCTATATGAGTCCTCAATAAATCGTTATAGAAAAGATATTCTGTGTTGAATCAGACAGTGTCCTGACAGCATACAGATGCCACAGTCACAGGGTTTAATAGAAGAAGGAACTGGTTATGGGAGTGTGAACAGGGTTAAGTGAAGGAGCAGAAACTAAAGCACCAGGGACCAGCAACAGTGGAAAGTTCCTGCCACCTAGGCCTGGGATACTGGAAGTTGTTGAAGGGAAGGTGCTGCTGTGAGTGATGGTTGGAGAGAACCAATACCACTGCCAACGCTCTACTGATCCAAAAGCCTCTAAGGGACAACCCCTCTTGGCCTCTCTCTTCAGCCCTTCCCACTTCCTGACGGTGCTGCCCATTCAATGATCTCAGCTAGAAGCTAGAGATTTGCATCTTGTGTCTTAGACCAAGCCAAAAAAGGGTGCAAAATGGATCTGAGAAGTCAGAGGGAAACAATTAGCATAGACACTTTATTAATTGCTTCTGCTGTAACAAGTAACCATTAATTTAGTGGCTAATAAAACAGAAGAAATTTATCATCCTACAGTTCTGAAGGTCAGAAATCCTAAATTAAAGATGTCAGTAAGTCTAAATTCTTTCTGAAAAGTTGAGGGGAAGAACTCATTTCCTTGCCTTTTCCAGGGTCCAGAATCTACACATATTCCCTGACTCCTGGGGGCTTTCTTGAATCACTCAATTTCTGCTTTCAACATCACGGGGGTTTTTCTTTTACCCTCCTTCCTCCCTCTCAAAAGGTCCTTATTGATACAAGGCCCACCTGGATAATCTAGGACAACTGCTTCATTTTAAGATTCTTAACTTAACCCCATATGCAGCAATGTGCACACATTCACAGGTTCTGGGATTAACATGTGGGAAGCCATTTTTCTATATACACAGACCACATACTCCAACCAGCTATGAATATGAAAGAAGTTGAAGTCTCCAATACAGATAGATTAAAACTAGAGACTACATCTACACATTGTACAATTAAAATGAATTCATTTTTATACTTTGAAAAGTCTTTTCTTTTTTGGAAAAAAAAATGAGAAAATTGAACTACTGTTCTATTTAATTTTAACATTGTTGTATATGCTTAAGCCTTTATATTTTTACGTCTTCTAAAATTTCAACATCCCAAGTTACCTTCTTTAATCTTGTGGCAATAATACTACAACATTTTTCATAAATAAACTGACTTGCAAAAATAAAAATAACTAAAAATTATTGAAATGCTATGATTTTTCTCATTTTCATGTACCATTCCCACAATATCCATAAGACAGATGGCATCATTAATTTTATTCAAAGGTGGTAGAGCAGACACATAGGTTAAGTAATTTGCCTTTGATACTATAAGAGGAGGATATGTTGGTTATCATTTCCATTTGCTTCCCCAGATCCACTTTGCATTTCTGTCCTGCTCTGGGAGGCTGAACTATTAAAACTTTATCATCCATGATCATTCCCCCTGGCTTCTAGTTGGCTTCAACCAATGGAACATATCAGCAAAACTCTTAAGAGTAAAAGAAGTGAAATTATGTTTCCCTATTCTGCTCCCATCCTTCCTTGCAGTAGAGAGTCGACTTCCCTATACAATTGTTCCCTATACAGCTGTCAGGTAGGTGTTCATTCCACTCTTCCCAAGTTCTGGTAACACTGTTAAGTCTTGAGTCCTTAGAGTTAGTAATGCCTTTCCATTTTTGCTAGCTCCTGGGTTCCTCACCATGCCTAGGTGTTTCTCTCAATCTTCCCACATCTCTGAAACTTATTACTTTATTAAATTATTTCCAAATAAACTACTCTGAATGTGCTATCTTTTCTCTTCCTTTGGAAGTTAGCTGCAATTTGATTATAAGGATATTTGATTTCAGAAGTGGAGTCATTTCAATATACTGTCTTTAATAAAAGAATATTTCAAAAGCAAATTAATTTATAACTTGAAATAAATTAGTTGCATTTAGTCAATTACTTATATACTTGTTCTAGTGACTTTTTAAAAAAATGACTAACTCTCTGAATTAAGCCACTTTCATAATTTTCAAATTTGAACATAGCATACCATAGGTTGTATATAATGAGTGTTTTCAGTAATAAATCAGTTTGTACATATAAGACCAGTTCTCCCTTGTTATTTTTCCATCAGTATTCATTGTTCATAACATTTATCTGTCATGCTTTGATGTCATGCTTTGCAGTGAGTTTGGATTGGATTCATCAATATGGGAATCTCTTCAAGTTATTTCACAGAAAAGGGAGTTCTTGCCCACCATAATATACAATTTACTTCTGTTCTTTTCTTGTTTCTTTTCACCACTTCCTAAGTGATGATATCTGTTTCCTTGACAACAAGGCAGGATGAAAATTGAAATGACACAGAATATATGTCAGGTGTATTCACAAAGTGAGCTATAGTTGTTAAAATGAAATATATAAGAGCAAACTTGTCTTCTTTTGTAGGCAAAGATGCTAATGAAGGAGCTTCACATTTCGGATGGTTTCCATGGTGCCAAGGAGATAGGTACACATGACACTCAGCCCTGGGCCATTGCAATTTTACATTTGTTTATTACAACTGTTAACTTTTTATTTTCTCACATTTATTTTTAAGTCACTGTTATGGTACAGATATGAGGTGTCTCCCAAAAACTAACATGTGAGACAATGCAAGAAATTTTAGAGGTGAAATGATTGGGTTATGACAATCTTAACCTAATTCATGCATTGTTCTGAATCTGCTGGTAGGAATTAATTGAGCAGTAACTATACACAGGTCAGGTATGGATAGAGGAGGTGGATCACTGGGGTCTACCTTTGGGGTACAAGTTATTTTCTGGTAAGCAGAGCTCTCTCTCTGCTTCCTGGTGGCCATGTCCTGAGCTGCTTTCCTCCTCCATACAGCTCTACTATGATATTCTTTCTCACTTTGGGCCCAGAGCAAAGGAGTTGGCTCTCTATTGACTGAGACTTCTGAAACCGTGAATGCCAAATAAATGTTTCCTCTTCTAAAATTATTCTTGTCAGGCACTTGGGTCACAGCAGTGAAAAAGTTGAGTAAAACAATCACACATACTAAACATCTAGTTCATAACTTCAATGCTGAACAAACAGTTGTTTCTTCTTTCAATTGTGGGATCAATTAAAGTATAATATGATGGTCTCTATTTTGTGCCTAGAACATATAGTTCAAAATGTATTATGACAATATAATATACATATTGGGATCCAACAACAGATCAGTCAGAAATTCCCCTTAATGGTTGTTCCTGTGATTCTAAATTACAATGTCTATGTGACAAATTGGTGAAGAAACAAGTTCCTAAAATGATTTATAAATCATAAAAAGTTGTCATTCTATTTTCATAGACACTTTAATATTAACTATATAGTGATATGTTCTAATTATTTGAAAATTAATAATTCAAACATAGTACATATGGAATCTCTGTTAAGAAGAGTATGATTAACCAATGCATTCCTTTCCCTGATCATGAGATAAATAGAATTTCTGAGACTATTTGAATAATGCTCTTCCTGAAATTGAAACCTCTGGGATGCTTTGGTTAAAAATTAAATTATATATGTAATGTAATATTTGGCTATAATTATGGTATATGGATACTAAGTCTTTAAAAATTTAATTGTCTTTGATATTAATATATTTTCACATTTAAAGGTGTTTTCAAATGTATGTATCTACATCCCCATTGAGAAAATGGTAATTAGTCCAGAGAACATATACTTTTCCAGCAACTGGACACCCTGATGATATAGCTAAGTACACAATATAAGGGGTATTTGTTTCTCAGACCATGAAGGCTGTCTACTTCCGCTATTAACAAAAGCTTTTATCATCCATAAAACTATCCCATTCATTATATGTTGATAGATGTTACAGATGGAGTCCCTGTGAAGCAGATATTGAAATGGAGGACTAGAATGCAGGAATCTCAATAGGGTGCTTTTCGGAAAGGTTAGAAAGCAGGATCCTCCTGTAGAGGGGGGATTTGGTCTAGGATACAAATGCAAAAAAAAAAAAAAAAAAGCCTCATCTAAACTTCATGGGTAGCTCCCTTTCTAAGCTAGAACAGCCAGCCCTTCAAGGTTGTCCCAATGTATGGGGAGAAACCTTGACTTTCAAGTCCTGTGCTTACTAATGTTTAGCTATGATAATTCTGGAAAGAGCTAAGAACAGGTCTGAGAAAAGAGCTAAAAACCAGATCTGAGAGTCTTCAACAAACTTCCCAGTAACTGGAGAATCCTTTCTTAGGTCTGGAAGGGAGGCTTTAAAGCAGTATAGCCCAGCATCCCCAAAATCCAACACTTTAGCCACTTAGCTCCACTTGCTTTATGTATGTGGCTAACTGGTTTCTTTATTCTGGACTGTAGTGGGCATCTTTTCCTCAGGGAAACTGATAGGAGAAAGTCAACAGAAGATCCTCAGCTTTTGCTGGCTGCAGTTGGTCTCAAGGCTGCAACTGGCATTTAGCATTTGTCTCTTTTAATGTCAATACTAGAGTTGCCTTGTCTTCAGTTAGCAACTCTTCTTGTCTGGATAGCTTTATCTAGTAGGATGACCAAGATCCTCATACCTGAGAAATCTAAGCTCCTGGTTACAAGGGTCTTTTTTCCCCGCATCATGCTGTAAATTGAACCTGGGGCCTGGCACATACGAGGCAAGAGCTCTCCCACTGATCTGCATCCTCATCCCAATCATGCTATTTTGAGGTTGTGCACTTGTTCATTTGACATTAATATTGGGCAAGGGAGTGTCAAAAACCACCCCTAGTTGACTGCCTGAGTACAAAACATATTCTTTCATAATTATCTCTATTGTTTAACCACATACCTACATTTTCTTGATGATGGGTGTTAATGACTCCTGCCATGATGATAACTTTTCTTTTTGCTTTTTTGTACCTCGGCACTCATAACTCAGGAATTATAGTAATTTAGACCAAAGAAAGTTATTTTCTATTTTTGCTGTTCTAGCCCACCAAAGCTGAACAGAGTGCCTAGGCAAGAGCTGTAGCTTAAAGTTTAATGAGACTCTATCTGCTTTCCCAGGTGGCAGAATTTCAGAACTGAGAAACACAAATTATTCAAATGAATCATTGAAAATGATGGTAAGTAGGACTACTTCTATTTCTATCATTTGGATTCCAGACTGGGTATATTGTAATTTTTGCATCATATAATAGTTATTAATGTAGTTAGTATGCTATGTCCTGAAGAATAACACTTATCTTACAAGGTATCATCTTTGAACTGAAATTCAGCTGTATCTTTAATAAAGTGTAACATGTTGTATGAAGATGGCAGCTACTGTGTGTAGTATATGTTAGGAACAGTGGATTTCATGGTCATGTGTTCACTATCATACCACCTTTTCTATAACATGAGACCAAACAATGGATGCAAAGTCATAGGTGATAGTGTACCATCATATCATATCAAATATTCTGTAAGCCCTTGGAGAGTGGTAGTAATCACGGCCCTAGATAAAAACATCACACTCACCCTTGTATTACATATCTTTTAGCAACAAAATACATCACTGCCTCTTCCCAAGGTAGAAGAGATCAAATGAAATAGACTTGCTACCAAGTGACCAAGTGGTTTCCTCCAGGGAAAATGCCACATTGGTTTCCCAGCAGTGGGTTTCTATTACTAGCAAGTTGGTATTCTGAAGCATCAGTCACTCTTTCAGCCTTGGTAAATGAGAACACACATTTTATTTTTTTATCCTTGGGCACTATGCCTGTCATTCTGACTACTCCAGACCCACACCCATCATACCAGCACTGTGGTAACTGATGACAAATGTTGTCCCATGTCAACCGGCTAAATTGTTTTACCTATCAGGTTGTTTATTCTCTTTTACATGGTGGTTGTTCTCATGATCAATACTTGTGGGAGAAGGGAACGAAGTAAGACTGAGTTGAATCAGAAGTTGGGAACAGTTGCAACAGGACTTAGCTGACCCTGGTGGAGGCTTGAAGTTGTAATGGCCCTTCAGACTTTCCCAGACATGGAAGCAGAGAAGTTGATCTTCATAACAGTAAATCTGCCTACCAATCATTGGATGTGGGCTGGTCTGAGAAGGGAAGTATAATCTTAGATAATCACTCCTAGGGTGGTGGTATCATAGAGAAAGAAACCTTGCACCAGAAAGAACTTGAAACTTTCAAAAAAAAAAAAATCTGATTCCACCAAATGAGCCTTCAAAACTGAGCTGCAAATCAACCAGTATTATATATCACAATATTTTTTTGGTGGATGAGAATGGAGCCTCCTTCACCGAGGATTGAGATCTGACTAAACACTCCTGAGGCCTATGTTGTCAGATGAACTACCTTTGGGAATCAAGTCCATTTGCAAGGTTCCTGACTGCCACCAGTAGAAGAACTCACTATTAGTTTCCTAAAGATGGAGACCAAAGTACAAGGAGCTCTCCTTGGTGCTGCATATAAACTTCAAAGACTCCATCCTCTGATCTTTTAAATAGTGCTCATCTCAGTCTCTAGTTTATGATGTTTAACAGGTCACCGATTTTGCTTCCTCTATCCCACCAAAGCTGAACAAATCCTAATGCAGTAGTGACCCAATCTGATTTTAAACATATGCTTAGCTCTAGTCATTACCTGATGACCAACTCTCCTTAGGCCAACTCTCCCAGTACTAAGAATTCATCTATTGAAAAATAAAAGTTATATGCATCATTCTTTTGAAAAACTGTAAGATTCATTTGATTGGTCAATAAGGAGATTTGGGTTATCAAATAAATCTGGAAGATGAAAGTGCCTACTAAAATCTAAGTCAAGTAATTGTTCAGGATTTTAAACAGAAGCAAATGCTATATACTTTTGCTCCTTCTGTTTAAAATCCTGAACAATGTGAATCAAAGTGAGTCAGAACTAAGACATGTGCTGGGCTCAGTGACTTACATCTATAATCCTAGTGACTCCGGAGGCTGAGGCAGGAAGATTGCAAGTTCAAGGCCAACTTCAGCAATTTAGTAAGATCCGGTCTCAAAATGAAAAATAAAAAAGGGCCAGGGTGTATCTCAGTGGTAAAGTGTCTCTAAGTTCATCATCATCATCAATGTTAAGGGGTCCCCTTTCAGTTTTATAAGGATAAAAGAGAAGTATGTTGGGGAAGTGGAATATTGGTAGGTAGTCACCATTTTCTACTCTTTGGGTTGAGTTAGGAATTAAATTAAGTGCAGATACAAAGTTCTGTTTTGTTAATATCAGTAGGAAGAAAACTCATAACTTAGGAATTATAGTAATTTAGACCAAAGAAAGTTATTTTCTATTTTTGCTTACACTCTTGAAGCAGATGTTAGACAACTTTAGTCCACATAAGTACAATTCAAAGCTTATTGTGGAAGTAAAGAAAAATGAGCTATCTCATCTGGTTGGTTTATAAAGAAAATCTTCATAAAGGCACTCAGTCTAGTTCTTGGAAGAGAAATATGACTGTTGTATGTGACAGTCCCAGGGCTGCAATAGGTGTGTGTGTGTGTGTGTGTGTGTGTGTGTGGTGATGGGGATGGATGGGGATGGAACCCAGGGCCTTGTACGTGCTAGGCAAGTGCTCTACCTCTGAACTTTACTCTCATCCCTGCAACATATTTTAATGTCATTCATTACTAAAAAGGATTTAACTATGTTTCTTGTTAAGTGAATATCCATTACTCCACATGTATCCCTTTAATAACTAGCAGAATATCTTCACAGATTAAGGACAAATAATTCTTTTTCCATTGAGGGATTTAAGCTCATTACACTTTACTAGGAAAATGTTATAACACATACCTATACAAGGATTTTGACATTCTTGCTATCTATGCTACTTTTAAAATATAAAACCCACCCTGTGGAAATACCTTCAAACAACAGATTCCATTGTAGACCCAAATATGATTAAAGGGCATGCCAGGGAGTGGGCATATGAGTTTGGGAGCTGAAGTAAAATAGATCAGAGCATATTTGGATTTAGCAAGCACAGTATGGTTGAAGCATCAAACATTCAACACAGTGGTGGGAGAAAAACAAGGGACACATAGACACTGATGAGTATTGGAGGCAATAAAGCCCAAGAGAATTATAATCCAAGAAAGCTGATTAACATAGGAGGGATGCATTATTTGCAGTGCAGTGTGGGGAGGAAGAGACACTAGAAGCATAGTTATTCAATTAACTAAAGATCAACTTAGGATGCTGTCAACAACAACAAAAAAAGAGAGGATAAATGAAAAAGACACTGAGGAATCATAGCTAATGGAATGTGGTGACTAATTTTAAGGTGAAATGGATCTTCATGGGAGAATAGACACAAGAATACCAAAAGTTTAACCAGGGTGACTAAACACTATGTAGATGTACATTAATTTACATAGAAATCTTAAGAAGAATTTGGTTTGAAGTATGGTATTTCAAGTGGCTACAAAATATCATGTGGGAAAGTGAGCCAAGCGGTTGCCAATACAGGACTAGGGTTGGAGAGAGGGTTTAGGTCCAGAGAGTAAAATTTGAGAACTATATAGAAATAAGAACAAAATTAAATTAAATGGAAACAAAATAGGTTGATCTGATAGTCAATTTCCTAAGTCTATATGGCTCTTGGGATCATGTGTCTGTAGTTTAAAGGGATTCCACAAGGTGGTGATGTATTCTTAATAGCTAAAGGACTTTAGGTTTTAAAATAATTAATAACAGTAATCCAAAGACAGCTATATTTTGCCCCATCTCCAGCATCTGAGTTCATTATTTGATGTTTGACATGAAAATTTCCATAAATTACAAGATATAACTAAATTCTCTCTCATTATTTTCTAAGATATATAAAAATGGAAAAGTTACTTGAAATAACGACCAACCGTAAAAATGTAGGATTATTAAGGGCAGTCTTATCTTCTATGTGAAAACAATACTTGGTGTTTTCTCAAACTTTTGACATAATTTATTATATAATCTCTTCTGTTTGCTTTAATGACAGCATTCCCCTTAAGTCCTATTTTTCAGATCAATCTTTTTTTTTCCCACCAGTCTATGTTTTTAAATGTAAATAGTATTATTTTTTTCTGGTTTTAAAAGCATTGCTCCACCCACACTCTGAAATTCAGATTCTCTTGACAGCTGCATCCCACTCATACTTGCTTTAAGATCCAAATAAAAACATGTACTCATCTCATGTGAGTGACTCATCAATGAATCATATAATACTGTGGATCTACGTGTAGCTTTAGTTATATGAACTCTCAACCACATATTCTCTATAACTACTTACAAAATTTCCCCCACACTCATTATTGAAATTGAAAACAGTGTGATGTACCAGTGAAAACATCTAAGTTGCTTAAGAGTTTGAATGAGAGAATATGGATTGTGTTAGAGTCATATATTATCTCTTTTCCTACTAGGATCATTGTTTTAAAGTATTGTGCATTATCTACTCTCTTCCCTACATGCTCAAGTGAAAATGTCTTTAAGAAATTAGGTTTTCCTGAAGGTATAGAAAAAGAAAATCCCTGTATTGGTATAAAGTTATAAATTCATTCAGCTTTTATATCTATGGTTCCTGCATTCATGGACTCCATCAACCATAGGTAGAAAATATTCAGAAAAAAATCATATCTGTAATGAAATGAAAATGTAAAGACTTTCTTTTATTATTCCTTAAACAACACAGTATTATAATTATTTAAATGGTATCTATTTGATTTTAGGCATTATAAGTAATCAATAGATGATTTAAAATATACATGATGATGTGCTTAAGTTATATGCAAATACTCTGCTATTTTGTGTAAGGAACAACAGGGTTATCCAACAGCGGTTGCTATCCAACAGGGGTTCTGGAATCAGTAAGGGACAACTGTATTAACTTGGATTGAGAGAGAAGAATTCATAAAAGACATAAGCTTGACAATGCACCTGTCTCCATTATGAAACATGCAATGGTTTTCTACAAGAAAGCACAGTGAAAAAAATATGACAAGTCTTGTTGGCACTGCAAATATTTACCACATCACTGAAATGCTGTAAAATACTGTAAAACTAGAGAAATAATCATGTGCTGTGTACTGAAAATCTCAGCCTGTGTGGAGTGCCATTGAGACACATGTTGATATATAAGAAAGCACTGTGCATCTTAAAGATCTGAAGAAAAAAGTTAAGAAGGAGAGAAAGCATTCATTAAAAGGCCTCAGTTTGAGCAGGCAAAAATTCTTCAGGACATTTAAAAGTCATACAAGGTCATGTAATTTGAAGGTCAGAAGTAAGTCGTCTATCTACTGCATATTACCTGCAGTGGTCTTTCATGGTGAATTCCAGAAAACTATGATAAATGTAGTTCCTATGCAAGCAAAATTTCAGTACTAATGGAGTTGGATATCATTGGAGATAAATGCTATTTTGTAGGTTTATTACAGACAATGAAGAGAAAATGGTGCCAAACCTAAAGCATCCAAAGATTGGCAAACATTCTTTTTCAGTAGAAATTGCAAGGTACTATCAAGCTAAAATTTTTGTTGGTGTGTTATTCCCCAAACTGCTTAACCTCAAGAGAGCATTTAAGATTGCTTTGTGAAGCAAGTGTTTGATCACTATAGGAGTGTTATCTTTGTGATTATTTATAACAGGGTACATGAAAAAAGAAAATCTTGCAAACAAGCTTCTCTTGATAATAGATAATATTCCTAGACATTCCTCTTTTTTTATTGATTAGGAAGATACTATCTAAGTATTTAGTTTCTTTTGCCTCTGGTATTATTGATTAGAAAGAGCCTAAGTGTTATTTTTCCCCCTCTCAAATATTATGTTCAGTATCTCGTGTGACATAGCTCCATTAGAGGTGTGGTATTGTCTTGACCTCAAGAAGGTGCCTGAACTTTATCAATCAGATTTTAACAAAATTGAATCACAATATACAAAGAATATTTGTCCCACAAGTTGTTGCTCTTTTAAGGAAATGATTGCTGTGAAGCAAAAAAACCTAAGAGTTCATGAAGGAAATTACATTTATGAAAGTAAATATTGAGGGGCTGGGGTTGTGGCTCAGTGGTAAAGCACTTGCCTTGCACATGTGAGACACTGGGTACGATCCTCCACACCACATAAAAATAAAATAAAGATATCGTGCCCATATACAACTAAAAAATATTTTTTAAAAGAAAGTAATATTGAAAATATTGAAGAACTTACCACCAAATAATTCATTTAGCATGATGCTGAATATCAGATAACAGAAAAGATCCACATATACTCTGCACAAGATTTTAAAATTTTAATATCATGCAGGCAAAATGATGACTAATGAAGGTAATTCTGTTAGGGAAGAATATATGATGAATCCAGGTTGTTCACTTGACCTTGAGGTTCTATCTTTTCTAGTTATAACTGCAAGAGGATATGTGCAACAACCTTGGCCTGAGAACAATATGATTATCAAAAGCCTAGCCCCCTCAGGAATGAAGATTTGGGTTGTTCTACCAGGTTTTATATGTGATGGTTTTATATGTCAAGTTGACTGGACCACAGGCTGCCTAGATATTTGGCCAAGCATTCTTCTGGGTCTGTTTGTGAGAATGCTTTTAGATGAGATTAACATTTGGTTTGGTAAAATAAGTAAGGCAGTTTTCCCTCCCTAATGATATTGGCCTTCATTTAATCAGTTGAAGGTCTGTATAGAATAAAATGGCTGTCTCTCCTTCAGTTGGAGGGATCTCCTCCTACATGATGGCTTATACTTCTGTGTTCGCCTTTTGTTATTATTATTTGTTCTGTTTAGATATGCATGACATTGGTCTTTTATAGCCTGCAGACTCACACTGAAACATTAGCCAATCTTAGGTCTCTAACTGCCCACCCTTTGACTGGAACTATGCATTGGTTTTAGATTTCTAACTTGTCACCTGCAGATATTTGGACTTCTCACCTTCCATAATCACACAAGCAAGTTCTTCATAATATCTCTCCTTCTCCTTTTCATGTGTACATATATACAAACATATATACTCTTTGTAAATATACCGTGTGTGTGTGTGTGTGTGTGTGTGTGTGTGTGTGTGTACATATATACAAACCGTCATCATTCTGACCTGCAGAGATGAGAGATGAAGGACAGTAAGGGAGGGAGATAATGAATACAATTGTGATCTTGAGAACAACTGCATTAAAGAAGGCTGTAGTTTGTCCCACCAATCTCCATCTTTAAAAGAAGGATCTATACAAAGTTCCTGATAAGACCTGGATATTCAGAAAAAAATGAATTGGCCAACTAGACTCAGGAATGAACAGAGAACCAATAGGATCTAACACAATCAGAATATGATACTTTAAGAAGGAAGTTCTCCTTAGGTGACCAAGTTCATGGGAAGCAAAGTTAAGTTGCTTCTTAAAGAAACCTGGAGAAGAGGATCAGTGCATTGTAAAAACCAGACTGTGATGCAGTGAGCTAGTCTTCCTTGTGGAGAACAGATAACTGATAGCCTCAAGCTGTCATTGAATCTACTGTGGTGTTCCTGCCAAAACCATCCTCTCCCAGAATTCCTCACAACCAACAGCTAAACACAGCAAGGGAACTGATGCCCCATCACTTTAATTTCAGATGAATCGTCTCTAAAAGTGACCTTTATTAAGGTTTTCCTATAAGTGTGGCCAAGAATTTTTTGTAAATGCAATGTAATCTGAAGCTCTTACCCAATTGTCTTTTCTTGAAAAGTTTGGTAGGCTCTTTCCTCCTCCCATGCTTCTGTCCTCTTTATCCTTCACAGGTATTTTTCACAACCAATCTTTTGCATATATAATTTCTTCTTATTACTTGCTTCTCAGAGCTTCTAACAGATACATTCATAGGTCTAAAATTAAGCAAGTGTAACATATCTCATTCTACTTGGCCTCAGCTGGGGCTACTCAAAGATTAGGGATTACAATGATGTAAACCCTAAATCATTCACATCTTTGGCATTTGAAACTGACTCTTGGTTAAGGCTGGGGTTGTTGACTGGAATGCTTACATGTGGTTTCTCCCTCTGACCTGGAAATCCTTCCAGTATGATTTCTAGACTCCAAGTCCTGAGAGAAAATCAGACAAAAGTCATATTGCCTGTCATAACCTAGCCTCAGACATCACAAAGCATAATATTTACTGCATCCTACTGGGCACACATTTAATGTGGAGGGATATCACACATGGGTGCAGTTAACTAGAGTGTGGGTCATTAGAGACTATCATAGAAGCCTAAATGTAACGTGGAAAAACTGATCTTAAGACTATTGTATTAACGGGGTAAAAAGGGGAGTTCATAACCCACTTGAATCAAATGCATGAAATATGATATGTCAAGAGCTTTGTAATGTTTTGAACAACTAGAAATTACTATTGTCATTGCATATTAATGTACTATCACAAAACAAATAAAATGACCTATCTTTAAAAAAAAGAATATTGTATTAAAATAGAACAAAGAAGCAGAAGGAATTCTGAATTAAAATATTTTTATAAATTTAAATACCTGGACAGAAAAAAACACAAGAATTGCTACAATGAAACTTTATACACTAAACATTTTAGAGTAGTTTCTATGGGAAGAGAAAAAGAATGAAGATGGGAAACAGGGATTAAAAAACTTTAAAGCCGGAGTTAATTTTATTATTCTCAGTGAACATTTAAGTTGAATATAGTTTTCCATTTATGTAAGCATTCATATTTTAAAATGGTGTCCACATGACATATACAAAATACTCCTGGGAGATGGAGGAAGATGGAAACTCAATTGCTTTCCTGGGAGCCAGAATTTATTTTAATTTCTGTTGAAATAGTTACCAGCGGTTTGAAATTTTGCAAAAGTTTCTTATTTATAAAAGACTGTGCCAAGGTCTAGGCTCATAATAAACATTAGACTCTCAGGAATTATTATTTCCTGTGTTTTGAGTTTAATTGCTTGTATGATGTACATGTAAAATTTGAAGATTATAAATGACACATTTTGCACATGAGAAATTCCTGTGTTTTAACTTATTAATTAATTTAGATAACATTACTGATAATTTTTGTGTTTAAAGTGTAGATGCATCATTTGTTTTTTGAATAAATAGATATCCAAGAATAAATTAGAAAATAATTGTGAGTTGTTAGTGTATGAGTTTCTAAACTTATATATTTTCTTTTTTTTTTTTAAAGAGAGAGAGAAAGAGAATCTTTTTTTTTTTTTTTTTTTTGTAAATGGACACAACACAATGCCTTTATTTTTATGTGGTGCTGAGAATCAAACCCGGGTCCCACACATGCTAAGCAAGTGCTCAACCACTGAGCCACAATCCCAGCCCCCAAACTTGTATATTTTCTTGAGGAACTTACTTAGCATTTGTTTTTGTAAAATGATAATATATTCTCACATTTTTTAAAACATTGAAATAATAATTTTTAACTTGCTCTATACTTCTCTTTCATTATAAATGTTATGGTCTCTCAGAGAATTATAACAGGAGTAATGCTAATTACTTATACATATATATTATTTTATTTCCTCTTCCTTTTAAAACCTCCGCATACAGGTCCCTTTAAAAATCCCTTACTTTGACAGTTGGCAACTAATCAATGCTTAACCAACTTCCTGCAAAAGGACATTATTTTGCATGTCCTTGGAGACTGGATAACTAATGTGTAATGTTTTACTTAAAACTGTAATTAAGTTTAAATTAAAATTCTTTGGGTTTTTAATAGAGGAGGAAGCATTTTGGTGCCTTTTTCACTTAAGGTAATATTTGCCAGCCTGTCTGGGCCCAACCACCTCCATTTATAGTTACTTAATATGGTTGTTTTAATGTTGGCATTTGGCCTGGAGACTTTAAGAAAACTTGGTTGTTTTCTGCCTACCCTCCATTACAGTTGTTTCTCTTCAGTTTTTGTTAAAAGATATTATAAAACAAGTCACCTGTTGTCATTTACTATTTACCTCTTTCTAGAAACCAGAAATACAGTCTTTACTCTTTCCTGGAAATTTTATTTATAAACAGTATAAATTAAGGCTCACCTTCAAGTACTCTTTTCTAAAAATATTCCTTTGCAATCTCCCTTACCTTCTATTCCCTGTTCCCCAGGAGTGGTTCCTTCTGAAGACCAGTCGTGTGCTTGTGAAGATTCATGAACAAGCTTCATCACTGACCACATCAATTGGAGAATTGAAGGTCCCTGCCCATTTTGTTTATAGCTTAAATATACACTTCACCCCCATTATTGAAGGATACTATCATACTATCGCTTTTTTTTTTGAGGGGGAAATACTATTATTTTTTTAACTCAAAGTGTTTTCAGATTCATCTTCACAGTCAATAAGGAAAGTTAGTATTAAGCCCCATTATACTTTTCCTTGTTTTTTTCCTTCTAGTTCTCAGATGTGGGAAAGAATTTTAAGTTATAATTAATCATTTATTACTATTCCTACCAAAGACTGTATTTTATTTTTAAATATCTGAGGCAATTGGTAATTTGTAATATCTGAATTGTAGACAAAGTCATAAAGCCATAAATAAGGCCACAAAAAGGAACAACTGTGGAACATGAACGGGCATATTCAATAATGGTGAATGAGTTGTCATGGTTAGTGTGACTGCACAGTGACCATTTTTGGAATAAATAGGATGTACAGTTTATAGAAAAATCTAGTTATATTCAATATGAGATTCAACATCCACACTTCAAGCAAGTAGAATCATTCAAAACTATGTTACATATTACTATTTTTATTATAATATAGCCAAATGTACAGTAGAAAACAAATGAGGAATTATACCCTGTGTCAGAATTATAAGTATTTAAGAAGCTAAAATAAATGATGGTATATTTAATGTACAGAGCTACTGTCATTCATGATCTGTGTTTAAAATAATTTATATTAAATGATATATGTACTTCAATAATATCTAGATTATTTTTATATTTAACATGCATAAATAAATCATTTATGGTGCAAATCTAAGTATCAGCCAACAGCATTTAAGATATTTACACTTTAAACAATTATGTGATTAAGTTAATCTACAAAGGAGAGGAAGAGGGAGGAAGAGAATCAAAGAAAAGAAAAGAAAGAATATGAATATGTGATTACTTTCAAGCAAAGAATTTAAGGAAGTGAATAAATTTAAACTTCTTTTATTCATAAATATTCAATGATTTAAACATTTTAATTTGAGAATGTGAGCCTAGTTCAATTAATTTTAAACCTATGTGATAAATAGAAATTGTTTTCAAATAATTGAACAATCACATTGCATTTTCATTCTTATATGCATTTTTACATTTTCTACATGTTCTTTTATTTTCTTTAATTTCTAAAAAAGTATGTATGTACTCTTGTCTTCTTTATTAAATGTAAATATATTGATATCATTCATTCATGGATCACACTTTCTACTTTTCTATATCCTCTACTGTGTGTATCTCATACTAGACTCACAGTGGCTTACCATATGTGGGTTGACTATTTATCAGTCATATTTATTGATCAGGTTTTCTTTTATACAATTTGCAAAATGCTGAATGGTTTATATTTGATTGTAATTTTCTCAAATAAAAATGTTTTATCTAGCATGTATAATAGGTACTAAAATAGTATCAGAACTGAAAGATGAAATGAATACATTAACAGAATTTTAACTACACACATTTTGAATATCAAATAAATCAAATTATTATAATTTGCCTTTGTTTTTCTAGATGTCAAACTGTACGGGAATTTAACAAGTCAATTTAGTCTCATAAAGTTTATAAATATAATGGATAATGTAAACTATAATAGAAATGTATAGTTTCTATTAATTTTGTGTTAAATATAAACTTTCCTATTAGATTAAGTATTATTCATATTGTATTTAAAGTGACATTCACTATAAACATTGAAATATTTTGCATTTTCTTGTTAATTTTAAAAACTTTCTGAGAGGCTGAGGAATGATGATCACAAGTTTAAAGCCAACTTCAGCAACTCAGTGAGATCCTGAGCAAATTTGTGAGACTCAATTTCAAAATAAAATATAACAACAGGCTGAGAATGTGGATCAGTGGTTGAGAGCCCCTGAACCTATAGGTTCAATCCCTGATAACAACAACAAAAATTCCTTGAGTTGACTTCAGTCTTTCTTTAGGCTGTATATTAGCACACTATCAAAGGAGCTTAAATTTTAGAACATTTGTTTTCTCCAGGATTGATTCACTAAAATATATATGTATTTCTTTGTTTAACCTTTGCTATTTTCTGAGTTATATTTCAATCTTTCTCTCACTTCACTAATTGTGACAACTGTGTTTAATCTATTGACTTACCTGTCTTTTGTCCTTTTAATTATTATTATTATTATCTTTATCCCTAGATATCTTATTTAGTGATTATTGTTTTCAATCCATCATTTTCTTTCTGATAATCTCTTTGTCTTTCATTACACTTTTGATATTTTATTTTAATTTCTTTAAAGATATTAAGCATTTATTTTCTGTTTCTGGTCATTACAGCAACTACAATTTTTTTGTGGGAATATTTCTGCAGTTACTCTATTTCTTGACTTTCTCTCATTTGTTTCCTTGCACATTCTGCACTTTTTCCTTATGAATTTGTGTTACCTGGGCCAGGGGTTCACATTAAATCACCCCCCACTCAAAGTGTTTGTACATGTGCTTCCTTCATGTTCCTGGGATGCACTGATGACACTAGGATTATGTTTTCTCTCAATGTTTGGGATGGAGTTTGGGCTTAGAGTTTCCAGATTCTGTGAACATAAGAATTTTTGTGCCAGGTCTAAAGGAGGACTGATTTATCAGTAGGAATGTGCTAGGAAGCTTTTTGGTAATTTTTCCTCCACCTTGAATATAGGTCAGATGAACAAGGGCTGCCTCCAATTCCCTGTGTGAGGCATGTGTTTTTTGTTTTTTTTTTTCTGGTTTTCCCACTGACAGACCTCTGACTTTATGCAGAAGTCTCTGATTTAATAATCTATTTTCATTCATGAGTCCTGAGTTTGTCTTCTGACTACCAACCTGTCTGCTAACAATTATACTCAGGGATACTAAGTATTATCAAATGCCCCTAGGAATTTGACTAATTCTTTGAACTTATTGTTTCTTACTTGGAGGATAGTCCTTATTTTTCTACCTTCTGAGAAGTGCTTTCCAAAAGACTTTTAAAGATACAGTCTATATGGAATTTTAGGAGCTCTGTACTGACTTACCAAAAAAGAAAATATGAGACAAAATTAAATATTTTGCAATAATTTAATTCATAATTTTTACTAAATCAAAACCAAATCTCTTAACATAAATAGTGCTTTTAAAGAAGCCACAGGCCAGGTACTGTGGCACATGTCTGTAATCCCAGCAGCTCAGGAAGCTGAGGCAGGAGGATCACAAGTTCAAGGCCAGCCTCAGCAAAAGCAAGGCACTAAGCAACTCAGTGAGACCCTGTCTCTAACTGAAATACAAAATAGGGCTGGGGATGTGGCTCAGTGGTTAAGTGCCTCTGAGTTCAATCCCCAGTACACCCCCAACCCCCAAAAGAAGCCACTTAATAGTCAAGACAGACTACCATGTTATATCAAAATTAATTTTTCCAAAATTGTATTTAATTAAAATAGTGGAACTAAATGAAAAAGAAGCAACTGTGAATTCTAAATATTTTATTGTTTAAAAGGTTCTCCTTTAGATTACTTTAACATAAAAGAAGAAAATAATTCCTTTATAAAAATTCTCAAGAGCCCTGAAATTTCAAGCCAGTGGCCTAAGATTCTTTTTAAATCAATATTCTTTAATACCTCACAACTACACTTCAAATTCCAAGTTTCTATAGGGTAAAACAAACCCATATTTATTCAGCATTCTACAAAAAAGAAACAATATTGACCATAACCGTGAAACTGGCATTCCATAAATTACAAATTATAAATGTGTGTTACAACACTGAATATCCAATAACGTCTTGGCAGCTTTTTGATCAGAAAATACTTCTAAGATTTAATGTTGCATTCAGGCTGTTGTTTTAGAAAGGAGATAAGAGTTTGAAGATATTTGTCAGGGTTTTAGATTTATATCCACTTCTTTTTACCAGATTTACCATGTAATCTTTAATCTCTGGAAAACTTTGATTTAACATGTCATCTAAAAGACAGTACTCTGCAATTTTAATGCTCCAACCAGAATTTCATGCATTTTGTAGTGCCCAGAGAGTTTTCATGATTTCTGTGTAACATTCTATATGTTTTAATTCTACATGTGAAAACATTAGAAAATGTGAACACATACTTTCAGAAACTTGGACATTGTGTTGAAGGATATATGCATACTGACAATCTCCGTTTCATTTTTTATAATTAGATGTCTCCTTTCAAGTTTATTTTGTAGTATGAAATATATCTTGCTTAAATACAGATTCTGATTAAAGTTTAGAGATGATTGCATTTTGGCTTTCTCCCAATGACTTGGTTTTAGTAGTTTTTATCCTGCATGACACTTAAAGAGAGTTTATGTGCTATTCATGTTGGGTAAGACTATAATCAATTTCACAATATTGGCTAATTTTCTTTTAAGAATTGAGCTTGAAATCCCATACTTTCAAGATGTGAAACTGCTTATGGTATGAAATAAAATCTCCAGGGTAAAGAAATTTTAGAGTGTTATAAGATTATATTTCATTTTATAATGTCAAAGATCCATAGAAAATATTCATAACAGTTAAGAAGTCTGACCTTTAAATTAGTCACATCCAATTCTAGACATAAACATTAAAATTATCTCATGAGCAACCTATTTCTGAAAAAAAATGCATGCTCTAGTCAAATTATACAAGCTGCTAAATTAGAAAGATCTTTAATGAACTGGTTATTTGTGTATTTGTGTGGAAAACAAACAAAAAGAATTAATTGTGATGCTTTGAATTAAGGCGTAAATGTAATATTTTGGCTCTGGATTATTTTTTAATAGATTTTATTTTTGTAAATACACAACAGCAGAATACATTGCAATTCTTATTACACATATAAAGCACCCTTTTTCATATCTTTGTATATAAAGTAGTCACAACAAAGCATTGCCTTTATACATGTACTTTGTTTTTTTTTGCATTACAATTCTTCTTACACATATATACCACAATTTTTCATATCTCTGTTTGTATATGAAGAATGTTGACACCCAATTCAAGTCTTCATAAATGAACTTAATTCTTAATGTGGGTATTATTAAGACGTTCTTCTAACAGTGGTTGTAGGCATGAATTTGAACTTCCCATGTGCTCTTAACATGGTTTTCTTTGTTACCAGGAGAAATATTAAAGTTGATGGGCTAATTTTATGAGTTTTAATGTCAGACTAATACAAAATTCATTCATTATGAGAAAATTAACTGTGGCACAAATCACAGATCTGAACACACTCCTACTCCCTTACCTAAAAACCCTTCCAAGTCCCACACTGCCTGCCACCTGCAGTTTGGGCCATGCAGTAGTGTACATGAAAGGGCTTCCCTCTCCCTCTCCCTCTTAGAACTTTGGTGAGGCCAATTTTCCTCTTTGCAGCATCACCTTTGATCTCTGTATCGACCACGTGTATCAAGCCCTTCAGTGTCTTCTCACTGCAATCACTTCAACCAGTGTTCCAGCAGGAGTGACAACCTCACTGATCTTTGGCTCATTCGTGCAGGTACAACTGGACAGAACCTCATTGTAGCCCTTTGCTTCTTATTTCTCATGTGTTCCTTCACATGGCCCTTCACTGAGGCCTTAGCATGGTGAGGCTGTTTAAACCCGCCAGCATTCATGTACATGCAACTAAAGTTTCCTAAAATTAATGCCAGTGGGGTCACCCTT